GATGTTCCTGCTTTAATTGTCTCATCTTGATCGAAGCACCCTACGTCACTCAAAACGCAGATTAAATCATAAACATATATCAAAGAGTTTCATCATCAAAATATGAGATTCAACATCTCATAGATAGGATATATGTTTATTTAGAAGGTATAGATATATAATAATACGAATAAAAATAAATTTATAACATACCTATACAAACTCGACTTTAGAACATTAACTAGAAGTCCCCTGCCATTAATTAGGACTAATTCATCAATTAATAATAATTTAAAATTCTAAATGTTGCTAGGAGGCCACATTGATTTAGAAAATTACTTAAAAACCAAATATCAGGAAAGAATTAAATTAGGAGAGGAGGAACGTTTTTTGGGGTTTATTTTTTTTTATTTTTTCTTCAATACATTCATAAAAATTAAAATATGTAAGATTTATTACTCACTAGTAGCATATTCATTATGAGTATGGGTCATTTTTGCAAAGGCATACACCTTTATTCAAGAAACTAATTAAAATATTTAGCAATCTATAATGAATAAGCAGAGCATTTACTAGTTTTATTTGTTTAAAATTAAAAATTCAAAAGGCCAACAGAAGATTAAATTTCTTTTTTTTTAACTTAAAAAATTGGAGTTGTATAGATGGTAAAATCAATAATAACTTTTTAAAAAATATATTAGTTAAATAAAACTAGTACAATCCGTGCTAGAAGAATCAACACTAAAAAACGAAAGAAGAGGAAAGATTCTAGATTTTACATTCTCAAAGTATTGGTAAGTCTCCAGTGTGGTTCTACAATTTCGATGAATTCTATTGGACCTAACTTTGTCGTAGAATCATTATATTTTAGTTAAAAATATTTCTGATAATAATTCAAAGATAATAAACTTTTTTTGGTATTATTTTTTTTAAAAAAATATTATATTTAAACGTGAACTCAAACTTGAGGCATATAAATTATATAATAATATATTATTATTTGTATCTATTGAGACATCTTAGTGGTTAGTGTATTGTACCGTCTCAATTTTCAGTCCATACTTCAATTCCTGTTGCAATGAATTTTTTTTTTTTTTTTTAAGAAAAATTAGTATACTAACGTCTCAATGCAGACTTTTATGGGTATTAGATGTTAAATCTAAGGCACTATAAAAGGGACCAAATTTTCTCTAGCTAAACTTATATTTTGATTTCGGCCTTCACGATCAAACACTCATATCAGATCAATTGCAACTCATCTTATTTAGAACAAGTGGGTCAGGTTGGTTGATACTTACCATCTTGGACTTCATCAAAATCATTATTAGTCAACGGAGATTAGTCAATGGTTATATCTATATAATTCCACTGGAAAAATAATAGGAATTCATGTGGTGCATAAACTGTCGCTATGGGCACCGCCCATGGTATTACCATTTTTATGTATGCTGTGTTAACATCATGCGATTAGGATCACCAGCCAACCCAACCGCTGCTACTGAGGCACGGCGATCTATGAGCCATCAATTATATAGTACCAGAAAGAATTTGTCTTGTTCGAGCCGTATCGATTCCTCTTCTCATTTACATTCAACCGACTCCTTTTCTTTTCTCCTCGAGATCTGTACACATAGTTTATCCCCTCCTGTAACATCCATGGGGAAGAAGGCGATGCAAGAGGCCTTTCGAGGCGCGCAGAAACCAAAGAAAACTATATCTTTGGCCGGCAAACCCGCGCCGGCAGCCCACCGTTGATGGTCGCCGTCAGACCTGGCACGAATTTCAGCGGCCGGCCGCCGGGAAGCACTTCGACATCGAACTTACTGACCACGGAGACGATCACGGTCTTCATCTCCATCAGCGCCAACTCCTTGCCGAGGCACACCCGCTGCCCCGCCTGGAACACCGGGTACTTGAACAAGCTCTCCGGGGTGAACACCCCGCCGCGGAGCCACCGCCCCGGCCTGAACTCGTCGCAGTCGGGGCCCCAGATGCTGTCCATCCTCCCCATGGCGTACGGGTGGTACGTCACCCTCGTGTTCCTGCTCACGAACGTGCCGTCCGGGAGCACGTCGTCCTCGAGGCAGAACTTGGAGTCGAACTGGACCGGTGGGAAGAGGCGCATGCTCTCGTAGATCGCCGCGTGCACATAGTGCATCTCCTTCAGCTGCTCGTAGCTGACGACGTCCGCCCCGTCGGCCTTGGTGACGCCGGCTATCTCCTCGCGCATCGCCTTCGCGACGTTATGGTGCCGCGACAGAAGCAGGAAGAAGCTCGATAGGCCCGAGGCGACGGCGTCGCGGCCGGCGAGGAGGAAGCTGATGACGATGTCGCGAATGTACTTGTCGTCGTCGTCCACCACCGAGCCCATGAAGCGGGAGAGCAGGTCGTGGCTGGACGCGAATCCAAGCTTCCGGCGTTGCCGTATCACCTCCTCCGCCAACACGTTGATCATCCGGATCGTCCGCTTCAGTTCCCTCTCGGACCCGACGTTAAGCAGCCGCTTCAGCTTCCAAATCAACGGCGCCGTCGCCGTCCCCCGCCGCGCCGACAGCCTCGAGGCGGTATCGAAGGCGGCCGCGAACTCCGACATAGGCATCGGAAGCTCGAGGCAGCCGCGGTCGAGCCCGAACGAAATCTTGCATATGGTGTCGAAAGCGAACCTCCGGAACACGTCCTGGAGGTCCACAACCGCACCGTCTCCTCGGTCGGCGATGGAGGACAGCAGCGGGAGCAGACCGCGGCCGATCTCGCCGGCCACGATCCCGAAGGCATAGGAGCGCACGGCGACGCTGCCGAGAGCCAGGCTCGCCATCTTGCGCTGGAACCGCCACGCGTCGCCGTCCACGTTGAAGATGCCCTGGCCGAGGAGGTCGCCGAGGAGGGCGGAGAAAGGCTTCCCCTTGGGGAAGTTGTCGAACCGGGTCCGGAGCATGTACTCCACGTTGGCCGGGTTGGCCGTGACGGTGTTCCCCAGCACGTGGATGTGGATGGTGCCGGTGGGCGACTCCCGGAGTAGGTGCGCGTACCAGTCGCAGAGGTTGTCGAACTCCGCCGCCCACGATGAGCTCACGTAGGCCTTGCATACATCGCAGCTGCAACACCGCCGCTTCCTCAGAAACAGCAAGAGCATTGAGAACAGAACAAAGCCCACGGCGAAGGAGAAGAAGAGGAAAGCAACGTGGTTCTTCGTCATCCCCGCTGCTGCAGCTGCCGCTTCCAATACAACGATGGAGGACGTGAAGGCAAGAAGCTCACTTCTTTATAGCAATGGCAGGAACCTCCCTTCCACATTAATGAGACGGACGGCTCGTTGTGGCCTGGTTAAGGTCAAAGCCTGCGTTGGAATTCACTGGATCTACCCAGATATGATGGAGACAACTGAAGTGGGTGCGGAAAGCTGGCTTCTCATCGCCGTCCATCAATACCACTTGGGTCTTGTCCGACCTTTCTTCCGGGGAATAAGCGCACGAGCACCTCGTGCTGCTCGTGTTCTAAAAAAGCCTTTGCCGGGAGGGAGGAAGACCGCAAGTCGGCTTCCAAGCACGTGCTCTAATATTCTTCCGCACATTTGTCAAATGCGTTTAATGCGTTGGTCATTTCGCAATCAGACAGTTGACGACCTCTCTTAATACGAAATTATTATGTGTTTTAAACGACATATTAATATAAATTTTGTGGTTTTTTTTTCTAGTCTTTCGCAGCATGATAAGTGCTTAAAACATGATTAATGTGAGATACATTTAGATTTGATCATGATTCAAATTGATATGACGTGTGGAATATGCTGAATTATTCGATTCGAATCGGAATTGTCAATTCATCCATAACTTCTTATCTTAGGCGAAACAAGAATTGATTTTGATCAAATT